AAAAAAAAAAAGAAAAAAAAAAAAGAGACATGCCCTGCCCAAAGCCTCCTGGTTCTCAAGCTGCAGAGTCCAGACCAGAACCGGGCCTTCCCGCTCAGCACTTCACACTGCCGCACTGTAATTTAAACCTTTCCTGTTACTGCCTGTTTTGCTCAGGGCTTTAGAAAGCCCTGGATTTTTTTTTATTGTCACATCTGCTCATCTCGATTATGTCTTCAAAGAGACACAAGTCTACAATTTCCTCTTTACTTAGCTTGGAACTGACCCCAGATGGAAATAACCTTCAGGAGTTGGTCTGGAAAGTGCAGTTCCAGTCCTAGTACATGGCATCCTGGCTGCTACCCCAGATGTCTGGTGTCACATCCCAATCAGTGGCAATGGGCTTCTCAATCCTGGGTGCCCTAATATCCCTCCTCCCCTGCACTGATGCTGAGCCAAGCAGGACAGCTGCCAGGACTGTGCTGTGCCCAGGAGCCAGGGCCCGGCCCAGAGCAGCTCAGCTCGGCAGCTGGTGGCCCCCAGGCCTCCTCAGCATGACCTCCATGTGGAGCAGGTGCCTGGCATGTCACATCAGCCTTTCCCCATCTGCCACTCAGCAAGGCCCAACCCCAATCCTGATCAGAAAGGGAAAGAAAGAAATGGTCCGGGAGTCACACCTGTCTGAGCATCTTCCGCCAGGCCTCATCTGGAGTCTGCTGCCTATGCTGCTTGGTCTCATGGCTCTGAGTCAGTCCCAGGAGACACAACAGGGCAGGGAAACCTGATTCAAATGAGCTCAGCACTGGGTGCCAAAAGCGAGAGTAAGAGAGAGGCTTTTCCAAGGATGGCATTCTGGAAATGGCCTCAAGGTCAAGTCATTCCCCGCTGGCTGGGACTCAGTATGCTTCCCAAGGAGATGGAAATTCTCTGACCTCACTCTGCAAAGCAAGGCTCTCCCACTTTTTTTTTTTAATAATGGGGCTTGAACTCTGGGCCTGGGCACTGTCTCTCAGCTCAAGGCGAGCACTCTATCACTTGAGCCACATTGCCACTTCCAGTTTTCTGGTGGCTAATTGAGATAAGAGTCTCACAGACTTTCCTGCCCAGGCTGGCTCTGAACCATGATCCTCAGATCTCAGCATCCTGAGTAGCTAGGATTACAGGCGTGAGCCACTGATGCCCGGCTTCTCCTACATTTTTATCTCATCCTTCCATGTGTTTCACTCAAAATGCCAGTTAGATGGCAATTCCCACATGTGTTGAGTGTTGTCAGGTCTCCACTCTCATCTGGGGGTTCCTCAGCCCAGGGCCAGACCCTTCACTGTACATCTGTGTCCTCCCCAGCTCCTAGCATAACGCTGGGCAGCTCAGAGACCATCAAAAGAGGGCGGGGTGGGGTGTGATGAGGAAGGGAAGAGTACAGACTAAGAGGCCTCCCAGTAGCCTGCATCTGCTAGAAATGCCAGCTGTGAAGCATCACTTAATTAGTTCCCATAGTACTACAAAGTAGTAAATATTCTTACTCTTATCTGATACACAAGGAAACGAAGATACAGAGAGGGTCTTTTGTCTAACCAGTACCACACAGTAGTGGAGGAGAGATTTGAAAGTATGGAATCTGAGCTCAGCAGCTAACCTGCAGCATCAGCTTATACTTTGGAATCACAGAAGGCCTACCAGGCACTTGTCGGGTCCTGAGCAGGGGCATGATGCAATCTCAGAGTAGAGTAGAAGCAAAGAGGAAAAGCAGGAGCCCAACAACAGTCTCACAGGTCCCCAGCCCTGATCAGGACACTCTGGCCTATAGTATCTGGCTCAGCATTCATGAGCAGCTCCTCCATCACCTTGGTCTCAAGGCTCCTTAACCTAACAGCGGGGAGGAAAAGCCTAATGCCTGCACCCCCCAGCACCTTGAGTCTTCCCTCAGGAGCCCTTCCCACTACAAGGAACTGAGGTGTGGGGCCCTGACGGTCTGGGTGCCATGGTGGCTGGGTGACCTGTGACAAACTACTCCACCCTTGGTTTCTAGAGGGCACTAGAGGGCACTCGCCTGGCTTACACCAGGTGGCCTGTGAGAAAGCTCTGTAGAGAGCAGGCCCTGATGCATGGACTTTTTCCCCAGTAGTTACAGAGGTGCTGACTATAGCCCCAGAGGCTCCCTGAGCTTCCCCAAGCAATCCCTAGGCAAAGCCAGCTTCACTTTAAAACCTCCTACCTCAGAGATAATGGAGAAGGGCAATTAGCTTAAAAGGTATTTTGAGTGTGCTTTAAAACATAGATGATTTAAAATTTAAAAGGCTATGTAAGGCTGGACACCAGTGGCCTAAGTACTCAGGAGGCTGAGATCCGAACATCACAGGTTTGAAGCTAGCCAGGGCAGGAAAACCCCTGTGAGACTCTTGTCTTTAATAAACCACCCAAAAACTAATAGTGGCATGGTGGCTGAAGTGGTAGAGCTCTATCCTTGAGCACAAAGAAGCTCAGGGACAGCACCCAGGCCCTGAGTTCAAGCCCCACAACTGACCAAAATAAATAATAAAAAGATATGTAAGAGACTCAGACATACCCCCCAGGAGCAAATCAGACATGCCCCCAGAGCTGCCTGACATCCCAGCTCTCAGCAGACTCAGACCTTGGCAAACAGAGGTCAAGAACAGCCAGGCACCAGTGCTCACGCCTATAATCAGCTACTCAGGAGGCTGAGATCTGAGGATCCTGGTTAAAAACCAGCCCAGGCAGTAAAATCCATGAGCCTCTTATCTCCAAAATAAACACCAGAAAACTGGAAGTGGCGCTGTGGTTCAAGTGGTAGAGTACTAGCCTTGAAGCCCCAAACAACAACAACAAAAACAGAGGTCAAGAAGCCTATTTGTGGGGGACAGAAGGTTCTGTAAGTTGTCCTGCTGCTGTCTCCAAAGTGTTCATTCCCGGGCTGGGAAGGCGGCTCAGCGGCAGAGCGCTTGCCTTGCATGCATGAAGCTCTGGGCTCAATTCCTCAGCACCACATAAGCAGAACAAGCTGGAAGTGGTGCTGCAGTTCAAGTGGTAGAATGCTTGCCTTGAGCTGAAGAGCTGAGGGACAGCGCCCAGGCCCAGAGTTTAGGCCCCACAACCAACAAAAAATAAAGTGTTCATTTCCTTCTCTCCCTTCTCTGTATCTCACTTCTGTCCTTACCTATACCCCCACCTTGCTCCCAGGCAATAGAGACCTACTTGCTGAATGTCTCTCCTGGGGGGCTGACCTACATTGCTGAGTGGAGAGGGGGGATTCTGGACCACAAGATGGGGCACCTGGCCTGTTTCTCAGGGGGCATGATCTCCCTCGGCGCAGAGGACGCCAAGGAAGAAAAGAGAGCCTACTACCAGGAGCTCGCAGCCCAGATCACCAGGACGTGCCACGAGTCATACGCTCGCTCAGGTAAGCCGGCAAGTGAAAGGGGCAGCAGTCAAGACTGAGGCTAGACACCAGGAAAATTTGGAAAGAGCAGCTGAACGGCAGCAAATGCAGAGAGCATGAGGCCTTAGCCTCCCAGTCTCTCCCAGGGAGCTGGGTAGAATCTAATGAACTGTGCTGTCTGGACTCTTGATTGTACCCGAGTTGAATGGATGAGTGAGGTATATTCAGCCCCTGGCCCACACATCATCACTGAGCCTCCAAATCCACATAGGGAAACCGAGGCTTGCGAAGACTTGACCGTGGTCACATGAGAGATAACAACAGAGAACTTTCAGCCCCAAGGGGCCTGAGCTAGCAAACCCTCTCATCCTGAGTGCTCTGTCCACAAAGTAAAGCTCCCACTGCATCCCCACAGTGTCTCTCCAGTGAGGGTCTCACTGCCTCCTGGTACCAGACACTCATGTGTGTGCTCACACACACACACACACACACACACACACACACACACACACACACACAGGCATGTACCACAGACTTGTCAGGTATGGGTCAGAGTCACATGAATATGAGCCCAACACCTAGATTAACACAGGGCAAAACTGAGCCCAGAGAGAGAAGGTGACTTAGGCAGCACACTGCACATGAAAGGCTGACCCAGGTCATCTGAGGTCCATCCCCACCTCCCACATTACACCCTCAGAAAAATCCCCACCCTACGCCTACCTCGTGATCCCAGAAGCCATCACTGCTCAGCAGAAATCATAGTCTTGGCCTTAAAGCTTCCTAGCTCCCTGTTTCCCCCACCCCAGTGGCCCTTTTTATCTCAGCTGCTCAAAGAGAACAATCGCACGGGGCTCCCAGGGTCCCGGGAGAAAGCCCCTTGCCAGAGCAGCCAGCATGTGTCTTTGCGCCTGGAGCCGGTGCTCGGAGCTGTTCCCAGGAAGTCAGAATCTCTATGGGTCCTAAAAGCTGCTTATCCATTTTCTTCTTAGCGCTTACTCTGCCAGGACCATAAACAAACAGGGAATCTGAGGAATAATAAAAAGCTTGCTATTTGTCTGGGACAATCAGGCCAGGCCATAAAAGACAGCCGCTTAATCGAGCATATTGTCCCAGCCAGCCTGATTTGCCCACTGCCGGCTGTGTGGCTGCTCCTGCCCTCACCCCATTAGCAACTTGGCAAAACCACTGTTTCCTGATGGGCCAGAGCTGCCACACCATTTGAAGAAGATTAGAGGGGCCAGAGTTGCTGACTCCTCTTCCAGGAAGCCCTTCATGGAAGGAACACGTACAGGAACTGATGCTCCAGCTGGTGAGGGAAGGAGAGAGGAAGGAATGAAGGAAGGGAGACAGCACATTCACCCCAAATTTTAGATCTAGAGAATTAGCCCTAGAAGGGAGAGGCAAAGAGATCCAAGATCGAATCTCAGTTCAGCCGTGACCTCCTGTGTTGCCTTGGATAAACTACTTCTCTAATCCTAAATTTCTACCTGATAGAGACAGAGGCAGAGAGATCTATTCTTAATGAAAATTAAGGAATAAGAGGTTGGGACATGGCTGTGGTGGTAGAGTGCCAGCCAGTGAGCATCAGATACCAAGTTTCAAGTCCTGGTTTTAAACTAAAAGAAAAAAGGAAAGGAAAGGAAATTAAGAAATGAGACATGTATGTTAAGCACCCCGCACAACACTGGCAATCATAAATGGCAGCTGTGCTCATGGCTATAACCTTGGTCTGACAGAAGGCAAAAAGTTCTAGTTTACATCTTCTAAAGATCTAAAGTCTCAAAGTACACAATTAGGGGATGCTTCCCCAGCCTTGGTCTTCCCAGATTCTGAGTCAAAAACTGCAAAATCAAGCTGGTTCCTCACACCTGTAATCCTAGCTACTCAGGAAGCTGAGATCTGAGGATCATGGTTACAAGCCACCCCAGGCTGCAAAACCCATGCAATTCTTATCTCCAATTAAGTTCCAAAAAACGCTATAAGTGGAGGTATGACTCAAGTGGTAGAGTGCCAGCCTTGAGCAAAAAAAGCTCCTGGACAGTGCCCAGGTCTGAGTGTACATACACACAAACCTCAAAACTCTAAGGCCTCAAAAGGCTAAAAAGGAATCTATGTGTCTACCCAGCAGCCAACCCCACTCGGGTGCCCACTGAGGGCTTCTAGACCCCCAGATTCCCCCTGGGTCAGCTAACCTGAAAACAGATTGTAGTGTCTGACCAAAGCCTCTGTTGACTCTTCCCACAGACACCAAGCTTGGGCCTGAGGCCTTCTGGTTCAACTCTGGGAGAGAAGCAGTGGCCACCCAGCTGAGCGAGAGCTACTATATCCTGCGGCCCGAAGTGGTGGAGAGCTACATGTACCTGTGGCGGCAGACACACGACCCCATCTACAGGGAATGGGGCTGGGAGGTGGTGATGGTGAGTGGTTGGGGTGGCACACGACCCTGAGAAATCACCATGCGGGCAGCAGACACCAAGAGAAAGGCCATCTAGGCTGCCTTCTGGCCAAGGGTCAGAGTTCTGATGGTCAGGCGGCAGATGCAGAGACAGAGTGGGCTGCATGCCCCATGGCCTTGGGGCCAGGCAGCAGCCTAGAATACCACCTGGCTGCCCTGCTCCTGGCCCTGGGGCCTGGATGGCTCCTTGGATTGCCTTCCCTGAAACAGGACCAGCTGCCAGGCTAGCAGCTCTCTGTCCTATGGCATAGCCTGCCCCTCCCCCCAAGTCCTAATGCTAGTGTAGATGACTTACCTCCTCTTTGGCTCAGCCTCCCCTCATCCCCAGCCACCTACTGGAAATCTCACATCCTCCTTGGGTAGGTGTCAAAGGTCAGCCAAGAGTTCCAGAAGTTTGTTGTTTTTGTTTTTTTTTGGTCAGTTGTGGGGCCTGAGTTCTGGGCCTAGGCGCTGTCCCTCAGCTCTTCAGCTCAAAGCTAGCGCTCTACCACTTGAGCCGCAGTGCCAGTTCCAGCTTGTTCTGCTTATGTGGTGCTGAGGAATCGAACCCAGGACCTCATGCATGCAAGGCAAGCGCTCTACCACTGAGCCATCTTCCCAGCCTCAGAAATTTTCTTGATCGGTGCTGAGCTTTCTCTGTTACAAACCCCGTGCCTGCTCCCAGGCTGACCAGGCACCACCTACCATGAAGGCAGGCTGGCCTGGGGGCCTGTTCCAGCAGCAGGGGCCTAACCATGTCAGCGCCTGGCTCCCTGAGGCCCAAGCTCTTTGCCTGGTCTGTATTTCTGTACAATAGGTAGGGGCCTGCGGTACCTCTAGCCTAAGGATCAAGAAGACTCTGCAGACTTCTGAGGGTTCCCCAGATCCAAACCATTCATATCCCAAACCATGCACATCACCAGTGGCTATCCCAGACCTTGTCCACCCCGTGGGCCTTCTGTCAGGCCAGACTGCTTCCTCGAAGAACAGAGAAATCTCCACTAGGCAGCCGCAGAGCTTAGTGGGGAGGAGGTAGCATGGCACCCATAAAGACCTGGGACCCCAGTGTGCTCGCCATCTCCAGCGGATGACTGGCAGGTGTCTTGGGGACCTTCCCTTCCTGTGCTGAGACCGCTCCCTCCCTCAGGCCTTGGAGAAATACTGCCGGACAGAAGGTGGTTTCTCGGGGATTCAGGATGTGTACAGCAGCAACCCCAACCATGACAACAAGCAGCAGAGCTTCTTCCTGGCAGAGACGCTCAAGTGAGTTGGGGCGCAGCCAGTGTTCTCCTTAGAGGGCACGTGGCTCCTGCTGGGGCAGGAGGGGTGGGCCAGCATCCCCCACCCAATGGCCAGGTGTAAAGTCACAGGGCAGGAGTCCAGGAGAAGATGGAGGGCTGAGGGGTTCAGAGGGCTGGACTGTCTCCTCCCTCAAGAACTAGTCTGGGCTGGAAGCAGTCCTGAGGCTCCATTGTGATGGACAGTTACTGAGATCTTGGGAGCTGTCACCCCTGTACAATGGGGGTAACCATGACGATGATGACGCTGGTCACTGCTGCAGCCCCCCTCCCAGGCCTCTGCAGTTCTGTTGCTGCTGTACTGCTCTCCCACCTTCTTGGGGTGGTTAGGACCCCCTTTCCCTGCTCTTCTTCAGAGTAGCCCCATACCCTTTATCCCTGGGGTAGCCACTTTCTTCCACAGACCCTCCACGCTGGGAGCTGCTGTCAGCAGCCCCAGCTTTGCCAGGTTCAGTGGCCTGGAATAACCTGGCAAGGCCCAGAGCAAGGAAGTAAGAAGCTGGGCTGCACAGCTGGGAGCCCCAGATGAGGCTGTCTGGGTTGGAGGTAACAGCGGGGCTGGACAAAGCCAGGATTAAACCATATCCCTCTGGCGCCCTTGACTGTAAAGCTCAGCACTCGCCCAGTTGTCCCCAGGACCAGGCTCCTGAGCAGATGGGGGGTCTCCAGCCTACCAGGCACTGACCACATGGCTTGTCCCTGTCCCGCTGCACACAGATACCTCTATCTTCTGTTCTCGGAAGATGACATGCTGTCGCTGGAGGACTGGGTGTTCAACACCGAGGCGCACCCGCTGCCCGTGAACCACTCGGACAGCTTGGGCAGCTCGGGCCCTGTGCACCGGCACTGACCTGCCACCCACCCCGCCCCGGCACCTCAGGGATGCCTTGCCTTCTCGGGGTTCAGAACTGTTTCCACAGGCCTTGGGAACAGAGGCCCCATCCTGGCCAGACCCTGGGCTGATGTGTCGGACCAGCAACTTCTTTTCCTCTGTGAGGAGACAGGACCTGGAGACGCAGCGAGGCCAGGCAGGGCCCCGGCCCCCGCATTCCTTTCGACAGAGAATTTCTACAAACTCACTTGCCACTGCAGGGCCAAAGGACCAGAGGGTCACATCGCCACCCCTGTGCTTTGTTTACCTCCTTCCCGATTTGGGGGTTTTGTTTTGCTTTTCCTGTTCCATTATGCTTTATTATAATTACATAGATTCCAAAATCATTTTGTCTGAAACCATGTCATCCTGATGAAGGAAACCTCAGAGCATTTGCACAGAAAACCTTGACCCCAGATCTCTATATTTTTAATGCCTTCTGCCCAACATTTACTCTGTGTTCAACCATGTTGCTACCCTATGCTTTCAGGAAGGGCCCTTTGACTTGGGCCTAAGCATTACAGATCACTAGTTCTATTTTCATTGTTGTCCTGGGAAATGATGTGAACTAGAATAAAGGAGTTTATTCAATAAGGAATCAGATTGGGCTCATTGCACATCAGTGGCTCCTGGGCAAACCAGCATGCCATCATTGGAAAGAACAACCAGCCAGCAACAGATTGAGGTATAATTTAGTAAGGATTCTAGCTTCTCCTATTTTCCCTTAAATTGGTCCTGACGTTCAGGAAGTGGAAGGCCAATCCTGTTGACGGACTTGGATATTTATACTCAGACCGAGGCTTAGAGAAAGCCCAGAGAGGAGCAGCAACTTACCTACAGTCACACAGCCAGGAAAAGGCCCAGGAGGGCCTCACTCAGTAGATGCCTGGTAAGCATCAGCTATAGTCCAAGTGCTGAGGTCAAGACCAGAGGCAGCACTGAGAGCAAGACAGCCTTCAGCCCTGCTGTCAGCAGAGTCAGGGCAGCCAGGTGCCCCAGAGAACAGAGGTGGCAGCAAGTTGTGGGCAGGGCTGCAGAGGAGGCAGGCCAGGCCGAGCCAGCAATGGCCTCCACCTGCCTTTGAGGTTGAGCAAGGGCCTCTGGGGCAGGAGGCTTTCCAGCCCAGCCTGGGAAGATGAGCAGGAGAGTGGGAAGAGTATCCAGTAGAGGCCCAGACCCTTTTCCACTCTCCGAGCACCACCACAGCTGCCCTGTGAGAGGCCCCAACGCAGAAGCTGGGCCCCTGCACGGTGGTGCCCTCCCCACCTCGCCCCTCCCTGCCACACGGCTGCCCCTCCACGGAGCTGGTGGCAGGGATACGCAAGCCCTCCCCAGGACTCAGCCACTTCATTTTGGCTCCATTCATAAACTCAAGTGGTTTTTGGAGTGTTGGAGCTCTGAGCTGGGTGACCTAGCTTTAAATCCCTGCTGTGTGTCCCCTGACAGATCATCTCACCCCTCTGTGCTCCACTTTGCCATCAAGCAGACAGAGCTTCCACCTCTCGAGGTTTCTGTAAGAGTAAGTGGGATGCTCCCAGCTCCCTGGGGGTGAGGCAGGAAGTACCATTTCCTTGTTCCCGAGGCTTTGGCACCCACAGGACCTGGAGCAGAGCTGTGGTGTGCAGCACTGGCATTCAGCAAACAAGCCACACACGCACTTCACGGAAGTGAGGCTCCTGCGGCCCATCGTAAAGGTTGAAAAAGCAAAAGGCAAATGGGGAAGACTCGCTGCACCAGCACGAGAAGACCAGCAGGAAGGAAAACCGTTCATCCTACTCTTTGGAATGAATACTGTTATATTTTCTTCTAGACCTTTTTCTATGAATATATAGAATATATATTTTGCAAACATGGTATCATCCTATGCATACTGTTTTCTTATAATCTGCTTTTGCACTTAACTATATATTGTGAAATTCCTTTCCACGTCAAAAATATACACGTATGTCACCACTGTGCCTGGCTCTGTGTACTGCGTGCTCTGGGCGGATCTCATTGCCTGGCCTTTGGGCCTGGGTCCCTGCGGGACCTTAGTTACAAATAATAGAAACAAGTTCTGTTATTAGTGAAATTTGTGGAGTCGGGGAGGGAGGACCCCTGGGAATCTCGGGAAAGAGCAAACAGCCAGCCCTCAGGGATGAACAGAAAGAGGACCCTGAAAGGGTTACAGAGAGCCTGGTGCCCTTTCCACCTCGGTCCAGTTTCCCTCAACTCCCTGATTCCTGGAGCCCCAGGCTCCTGGCTGTGCCCTGGTCTCCTTCCTCCACCCCCCGTCCACCCTACTGCTGGGAGCAACTTGTAAAAATAGTGGTTTTAAATTCATCCTTCAGGAGGCCCATCCTTGTGGCGGCTTAACCCCACACCAAAGATAAGAAGAAGCAAGGCCCCGGGCCGCAGTCAGAGGTCAGTCACCACCAGGCGCTCCTGGCAGAGGGGTGGCTGGGAGAGAGCTTTGTAGTGCAGGCCCCAGGCCCAGCCCTCCTGCCCCAGCTGGACACGTCTGGCCTCGGTCCCCTCACACCTGCTCTCCACAGATGGCTTGCTACTTCCTTAGAGCCGAGACCCACAGAGCCACACCCTGGGATGGGGCCCAGTACTGTGCAGCCCCTCTGAGCCCCACACCATTACATGTGCTCACACAGCCCGACGCACTGAGCCCCCACACCATTACATATGCTCACACAGCCCGACGCACTGAGCCCCCACACCATTACATATGCTCACACAGCCCGACGCACTGAGGAGGAAAGGCAAAACTGGGAGGTGTGACTGGATGGCGGACTTGGTTTGCTCTGGGGCAGCGGGCAGAGCCACGGGGCAGTGCGCAACTCCCCCAGCCTGCCCTGTGGGCTCTGCCCTTGGAAGTCCGTCTGTCGATGGGGTGGCCCAGCCCGCAGGGCGCTCTGTGGCGAACGGTTGGTCACATGCTGCCAGGAGCGGGGTGGGAGGAGAGGCTATTTCTTACAGCTGAAAATATCTGTTTGACTTCCTATATTTGGAGCTTTATTTTGATCCCACTCAGTCTGTCCCTTAAGTCAGCATCTCAGACTTGAACGTGCACACCAATCACCGGGGACCTTGTTAACATGCAGGTGCGCTGTCGGAGGGGCTGTGTGGAGCCCCAGCTTCTGCCTCTAATGAGTTCCCAGGAGACACTGCTGCTAGGGGACCCAGGTCCCCACTTAGAGCACCAAGGCCCTTTGCTTTCCACCCTTTCTATGTGACCCTGGAACTGTAATCCACGAGCCCCAGAGTGGCAGGAGGGCCAGGCAGCATCGAGAGGAACCTGGGCTGCAAGAGGGGCCTGTCCTCATGGGCCTGTCCCTATGGAGCGGTCAGGGGAGCAGAGCTGGCGCCATCCGGGGACCTTTGAGCTTGTCTGTGCTGTCCGGTAGGAGCCACTGGCGGGTACAGAGCACTTAGACTGTGGTAGGTTGGGCTGGGAAGGTGCTCAGTGGTAGAGTGCTTGCCTGGCATGCGTGAGGCCCTGGGTTCCATTCCTCAGCACCACATAAGCAGAAAAAGCTGGAAGTGGCGCTTTGGCTCAAGTGGTGAGCGCTAACCTTGAGCTGAAGAGCTGAGAAACAGCGCCCAGACCCAGAGTTCAGGCCCCATGGCCGACAAAAAAAAAAAAAAAAAAGAATGTGGTAGGTTGTGGCTGAGGAACTTTTAAATTTTATTTTGCGGTAATTCAATTTGAACAACTATACGTAGTTACCAGCTGCCATTTGGATCACACAAGATCGGAACTGAGGAAGTGAATACCCGGCCCAGACCCCACTCGCCCCTCACCCGCCCGTATCTTTGCAAAAATAATCTTAGCACAAAACATGTTGTGCGGGGCCTCCAGGGTGCCTTTGAACACACCGGTTTTGTTCTTTACCTCATTCTCGCCTCTGATTGCCTCCTGCACCCACCGTTGCGTCTTGTTGTGCGTTGGTTTATCTTACGGTAAATCTGTAGATGGGCACGTTAGAGCAGGTGGAAGCTGACCCAGAAGAGAAGTGCCACAGCCTGTGAATTTAGGCAGAGCTGCCCTCCACTCTGCCTTGCCCTTTCCCTGTGCTGTGTGGCCTTGGGTAAGCCCTTAACCTCTCTGAGCTCTGTTTCTCCATTAGGAAAAATAAAAAGTGATGCCTAGAGCTAATGGAACGTCTTCCGCCCATGTAGACACTCAGTATATAATAGCAATGGTAATAATTGTTCCTACGTGAACTTTTTTGTAAATGTGAAGCAAAACTGCTGTCAAAAATTTCTCCTTTCTTAAAACAAAATGCTCTGAAACTTGGAAGAAACTGCATCAACCAGGCTCAGGAGACGACCAAACTCTCAATGCAATAAATCTGAATGTTTTCTGTGTCTCGCAATGAGCAGGCATTTTGCAGTTAGTCCTGAGTCCATGGAAATTAGGATGAAGATTTGTTGGCTGTGCAAGGGGCTTGGGGGCGGGGCCACAGAGGAAGGAATTTGCTGGTGCCTCTGTCTGGGTGATGCCAGAAGTCCAGGTTATTTTTCTTCTTTGGAGAGTCCCTGGAAATCCTTTCTTCTGCTATGAAGCAGGGAAAAATGGCACCCCACTCACCAAGGAGGGAAATGAGGACAAAGAGGTTTTGGGCGTGTGTGTGTGTGTGTGTGTGTGTGTGTGTGTGTGTTGGCGCTGAGACTTGAACCCAGAGCCTCACATTCTTGCTTTGCTTTTTCACTCAAGGCTGGTACTTGAGTGAACAACTTGAGCCACAACTCCACTTCTGGCTTTTTGGTGGTTAATTGGAGGTAAGAGTTGCATGGACTTTTCTACCCAGGCTGGCTTCAAAGTGCAGTCCTCAGGTCTCTGCCTCTGATTAGCTAGGATTACAGCCATGAGCCACTGACTCCCAGTCACGTCAAAGAGGTTTGTTCAGTTAAATAGCTGTTCCTAGCTCCGAGCGGGCCCCCACTGGGTCTTCCTCCCCTTCCCCCAGGCTCATTCCTCACCATCATGTAAACAGCCCAAGTCTGGGTGGCCCTTTACCCATTCATGACTGACTGGTTTGTAATCTGTTGTCCTAACAAAGTAAGTTTCCTATTTTTTCTGAAGAGTGCTCCTATTGTGGCAGTATAACACCCTGTCTCCTCAAGTGAAATCAACGATGACTGAAGTTACTCTCCCCTCTGCTCTCTCCATCAGACAGCTGAGGTGCAGAGCTGGCTTGGTGCTACAAAGCTGTGTTTCCGGCTACTTGAGAAGAGGGGGTAGGAGGCAGAGTGAGTGATAGACTCTTATCTGCAGCTCAAGTGGTAGATTGCTTCCTTAGCAAGCAAGCACAAGACCCTGATTTAAACCCTAGTACTTAAAAAAAAGTAAGGGTCTGGGAAGGTGGCTCAGTGGTAGAGCGCTTGCCTTGCATGCATGAGGCCCTGGGTTCGATTCCTCAGCACCACATAAGCAAAAAGAAAAAAGCCAGAAGTGGCACTGTGGCCCAAGTGGTAGAGCGCTAGCCTTGAGCTGAAGAGCTGAGATACAGCGCCCAGGCCCAGAGTTCAGGCCCCATGACCGGACCCCCCCAAAAAATAAAAAGTAAATAGGCACCAGAGGCTCACGCCTGTAATCCTAGCTAC